TGTAAATAAAACTTAACTTTTTCAACTTGTCACAAAAATTCCAAACTTTTAATAAGTATTGCAATTGTGTCTCAGCCGCCGGACCGTCGCCAACCGCTGCCACCAACCGCCACCCGCCGCCAGCCAATTTCGCCGGATGTTGAAAATTTTTACATGATCTTGTAACTCTCCTCCGTGCCGACAATATATCCGAGTTTCACAAAAAAAATCCGACGATAAAACTTCCAATTTTCCGATCAAATTCGTAGATCTTCAAATTTCTCCGGCGTTCTTTCGCAGATTCCTGGTGACTCGCTTTGACCCATGTGAATCTGAAGGTACCATTGACTCCTCTCGCCGGAACCGGTGACTTTTTCCGGCGACGACTTTTCCGGTCATCTTAGTCAAGGTTTAGTATGGCCGGAAATTGATTTTGAGACACAATTGCAATACTTATTAAATGTTTGGTTTTTTTTTTGCCAAATTAAAAAAAAAATGAATTTTATTTACAAGTACACAAAAAATTAGGATTTTAAATGCAGTTAACCCTAATTTAAATTTGCTGAACAATTCAACAAGGGGGGCACCATCTCATGAAACGGACATACGCAAAACTTGCTGAAATGTTTAAAGTACATGAACTTTACCAGAAAATTTATGGTGCCACAATATGACGTGGCACAATATGATTGGTGTCACAACATGATGTGTGATAGTTGTGACACCAATCATAATGTGTCACATCATGTTGTGGCATCAATTATAATGTGACACATCATGTTGTGTCACTATAATATAGTGTCACATGTGGTGCCATAGAATTTCTAGTGTTAGTTATGTAGATATAATATTATATATATTGTAGGCTAGATTAATGCTTATATATGCGTGTACATAATACACAACATAATTTTTTCACAATCTCACGTGGCATCGGAATTAGGATTAGGGTAAAACATAAGCTAGATTTTTCGTTGCTCATTTCTAGCCATCGTTCTTTCACCACCCGACCCCAACCAATCTCTCTGGTGTCTCGAGGTGAGCTTTCCTGGAAGTTTCATCGCCATTTTCGGCGCGTGTTGGTACAACGCGCCTCGTCTCCATCATAATACCGGGAGTTTTCGTCGGCCCGTGTGACTCACCTCCGACATCGTTCGCTGTTGCCTTTCAGCCATCGACTCCTGTCAACATTGGCTATGTTTTGGTCCGATCAGATTTGGTATTCATGACCTTAATTTTGTTCGTACTGATATCTCGCGTGACTCGTGATCCTATTCGTAATTTGATTTTACCTGCTTCGTGATATTGTATTGGTGATTATTTGAATTTGAACATGGATCGTCTGGATGTGCGTTCTCCTATCAGTGTTATCTTATCAGGTGATAATTATAGTATTTGAGTGCAGTCTATAGAAAGCTTTTTAATTTAGAGAAAACATGTGGCAAATTGTGACTGTTGATGTATTGTCGCTTGTGCAACCGTCTCGTACATGGGATACCAACTCACCACACAGGCTCTTACGACATTTGTTGATAAGTTGAAAGATTGGGATAGTAAGAATCATTAGATTCTTACTTGGTTATGTAAAACTCTAGCTTGCTATTTAGGTGCAGCTTGCTTCTTTTAATGATGAGAATATGGTTTGCGATTTTTTTGTTGGCCGTTTTCAGACTACCGTTCTGGCTCATTATTATCAACTTTAGAGCATCTTACATTCCACAAACAACAATCGGATCAATCGAACGATTTTCTTGCACAAGTACAACTTGTTCGGTGAAATTCTACTGAAATATATATGTGACCGCTAAAATTTTATGTTGGAATTTGATCATTTTGTAACCGTGTATATTACTAATTAATACTATGTTATTTAAAGTCTCTTTTTTTACAAATTATTTTAAAATGTGATATCTCTTGTTCAGTCCATGCATTCTTTTGACCACTTTATTAACATCTTTTAGGAGAAAATGATACGATATTGGAAAGCAGCAGATAACATAGTATATGGAGCTATAATTGATCATGCAGACAATAAAAACAAAACTATAATAATAATACTAATAATAATAATAATAATAATAATAATAAGAGTAAACTATAATTTTAGTCTTGTATGTTTCACTACTTTAATTTTTTCGTCCTCTTCGAATTGTGTTTCTGATTTTCGTCCTGTATGTTTGAAAAAATATTACACAAAGGTCATTTTCAGACATAAAAGACGAAATTGGAACACTTTTTTGCAAAACATAAAGGACCTTTTTGTTGCTCAAATAACCTATTTGTAATATTTTTTCAAACATACGGGACAAAAATAAAAACACAATTCGAAGAAAACGAAAAAATTAAAATAGTGAAACATACAGGACTAAAATTGTAATTTACTCTAATAATAATTGCAAAAAAAAAGTCATCAATAATGTAGGTCATTTCAATTAAAGTGTCCACTCATTTTCCACACACAGAGAAACGACACCGCTTTACCATGACATCAACGAATCAATATACTGATTGTTTTATTATAATAGCGCTAATTAATTGCATAGAAAATCATAACTTTATGTAAAATTGCAAATTATATATATATATATATATATATAAAGTTGTGTTAATGCGCAATATTTATTATATGTGTTGTTAAATAATTTAGTTTGACGTGTTGGGCTAAAATACAACGTGCAAGACTTATTATTAATTTATTATTTATTATAGACGTCATCACATTCAGTTTCAAGACAGTGATATTGGAGTCTTTTAATTCGAAAAATAAAAAGAATAGAATTATCCAATGTAATTCACTACAAACTAACTGATAAATTTCTAAGGGAAATATATATATTTCACAATAATTATTCCAATGGCTATTCTAATAGATATTTAAATACTATTATTTTCGTTGGAATTTTTTAAGGGATTCCAACGAAAATACCAACAAAATTATTTCGTTGGAATGGTTTTCATTAGAATTTTTCGTTTGATTTTGACGATTCCAACGATAAATTTTTCTAACGGGGGTAGAAATAAAAATTCCAACGAAAATTCCTACGATAAAAAGCTGTTGGAATCATCAAATTCCATTTAAAATTCCGATGAAAAAATACATTACAACGGAATGTTTTCGCTGAAATTTCCGTTGGAACCATAGGATTTTCTGTTTATAACAAATTTTTTGTAGTGGCTTTGGCAAGTTTTAAGTTTATATGCTATTTTAGAAAATGTTATGATTTAATACAATTGGGTCATTATTATTATTATTTTTTTGATTACTTTTTGCTCTTTTAAATATATACTAGTACAACACTCGTGTATTACACGGGTGCTTGTTAAAAAATTATTCTTAAATTTTAAAATTAATGAGAAAACTATATTAAATTTAGTTTACTTTTTTTTAAAAAAATATATATTACTATATATTTTAGAATGATATATGTTACTTATGACTTACATGTGTTATATTCTATTAATTTTTATAACTTATATCATATAACTACTTGAAATATAAATTTATTGCTTGATAAATAATTTTATTTTATTTTTAATTAATATTAAAAATAATTTTATTATTGTTATAAAGATAAATATAAATTATTTTTTATACATACAATATGGATGTTAAATCGAAGTTAATCAAAAGAAGATTAATTTGATATATTACATATGTAAAGCTGATAAAAAATACAAAAGTTATTAACTTTTAAAATATATATACAATTCAATAGTAGTTATAATAAGAAATGATATTAAAATACAATCAATACATGTAACATGACCATGAATAATCAACATATTTATGGTAATCCGAACCTAATTATTTTTGGTTTGGAATTAAATTAAAATTTACCCAAGCCTAATAACGAAACATGTAATTTTGTCACATAGGATTTCGAAGCACCAGAAGCGGCCACGTAGGCTCAGCTCGTTCTGAATTAATATATAGGGGAAGGGGAATTTACCGCAGTACTTTTTAAAATCTTCCAAAATACGACATTCAAACTAAAATACTATATGTAATTTCAAAATTAAACGAGTCATTAACCAAAAATATATAGAAAGTAATTACAAAAATAAACTATAGTCAAATAATTTTATAAACAGTAAAAATTAGTTGTATATTTGCGATTAAACAAGAATTTATAAATATAAAAATAAATGAAAGGCCATAATTTTCTCAACCTAATTCTTCCTTTTTTTTTTTTTCTTATTCTTTGAAAAATCTCGTTGCTTATGCAATTGGGTTTGCATTTTTAGGTGATTGATATGGAACCTTAAAGTTAAAGGTTACTAATTAAAAAAATTAACTAGTATTAATACCATGTGCAACATGGGTGTTAAGTTAATGAATATATGTGTAAAGTTATTTATGTCTAATACCAAACCTAACTCCAGAATAAAAATAAGGCAAAATTGTATTTCATGCCCTGTAACTAGGGGTCTGTGGCAAATGTGGACAACTTCTTTTTGGTTTGGCAATAGTGCCCTGAAACTTGTTAAAACTCAAAATTCGTGCCCAATTTGGGCACAAATTTTAAATTTTAACAAGTTATTGTCCTATTTTGCCACATGAAAAACCGGTCAAATCCGGTAGCTTATAGGTAAATTGGGCACGAATTCTGGGTTTTATCAAGTTTTGGGGTACTTTTGCCAAACCAAAAAGAAGATGTCCACATTTGCCACACACGCATAGTTATAAGGCACAAAATGCAATTTTCCCATAAAAATAATATAAAAACATCATCACGAAGCATAGATTTTCGTCATGTCAGCATCCGAAGCGTGAGAATCTACCACCTAAGCTCAACACGTTTTGAATTAATATATAGGGAGGAATGTGTCAGCCACCATGTGTTTTAATCAAAATAATAATGTAGGGTTTCCTCATTCTTTGTGCTTTGCTTTTTTGTGTGTATATAAAACCCCACGACCATGCTATTTTCGTACACCCACAAGCACTCAATTTTTCTCTTTTTTCTGCTCTAACAACATACTATTAGAGACACATATCAAAAGACAGAAGAGAAAAGAAAATGGGTGAACAAAACTTGTGGGAGGTGATGAGTGTAACTCTAAACAAGATAAAGCCCTTTTTAGCCATGATATCACTTCAATTTGGTTATGCAGGAATGTATATAATTACTCTTGTGTCCTTCAAGCGCGGCTTTAGCCATTGGATTTTTGTCGTCTACCGACATGCAGTCGCCACACTCGTGTTTGCTCCTTTCGCCTATTTCCTTGAAAAGTAAGATTTTTTTTTCTGTTTTTTAAGAATTTATACGTTTGAAATGATCGTCGTTCCTTTTCGTTTTCTATCGGATTTGGTTGTATGATATTTTTTTTTTTCAGGAAAATAAGGCCTAAGATGACAAAATCAATATTCTTCAAGATTCTGGTGCTTGCCTTCCTGGAGTATGTCCTTAAACTACAATTTTATAATTTAGTGCAGTAAAGTACCACACAATTATTTAAATAATGAAATATGTGACACCATTAATATATTGCATGAATGAATATGCATGTGCAAAGTGTGTTATACTAAATAATGTACTAAGGAATATTATGATCAACACTTTAAAAGGCCCCACAAATTCATATGAAAAATCTAGGATCCTTAAAAACAAATAATAATAATAATAATCAATGTATCTTTCAAATTTTCACTATTTGAATGAAATTTGAATGAAATCCAATGTTGTAACATTTTTATGTTTTACTTAAAAATTTGAATGAAATAATCAGGCCAGTTTTAGACCAAAATTTGTACGGTGTGGCCATTCAGTACACGTCGGCTACGTTTGCAGCTGCATCCGTTAACGTCCTCCCGTCCGTCACCTTCGTAATGGCTGTAATTTTCAGGTATATAACAATTGCTACAATTAAAATATTTATGACAATTTCGAATTAGTCAGTTCCCTTGTGGATCCAAAAACCGAAAGATCCCTGTACCAAAAAAAAAATATATTGATGACAATCAGAATATTCGAAGTTAATTTTTTTTTTTTAAATTGTATACATATATGAAATAATAATAATCAGGATGGAAAAAGTGAATCTGAAAAAGACATCCAGCTTGGCTAAGGTGATTGGTACGCTAATAACCGTCACCGGAGCCATGGTGATGACGCTGTACAAGGGCCCACCAATCGGCTTCCTCCACGGCGGCGGCGCCGACCAGAAATCCGCCGGCAGCTCCGCCGATCAGCACTGGGTCTCCGGCACTATTATGATGCTCTCTTGCATTGTGGGCTGGGCCGCATTCTTCATCTTGCAAGTACAATCCATCATACCTTTCTCTTTTCTGGCCCAAAAACAACCAATAGGGGTTTATAAAAAGTTTCAGTACATATAATTCCAATAATAAGTGGACTAGTCTTTAGTCCTTGACATTATTTTAATATGTTAACGTATTTTATATTCAAATGTCAATAATATAAATTAAAAGAATTAAAAATTATACTATAGTTATAATTTTTTGCATCAAGTTTTCGAAAATATTAAGAGATTAATTTTGGGACCAAATTTGCAACAGAACAAGACACTAAAAGAATATCCGGCGGCCCTGTCGTTGACGTCCTTAGTATGTGTGATGGGGACTTTGGAAGGCGGAGTTGTGGCCGTAGTTATGGAGCGACGCAAGAGTGCTTGGCTCATCGGCTTTGATTCTAGGCTACTTGCCGCCGTCTACTCGGTAAAATTACAATTACTAAAAATAAAATTATTTATTGAATCATAATTTCAATAAAAAATATTTAGAAATTGGAAATAGTTTTACGTCCAATTTATCCTTAATCAGTAACATATATCGACAGGGGATTGTATGTTCGGGATTAGCATACTACTTGCAAAGCGTAGTGAACAAGACGCGAGGCCCGGTTTTCGTGACCGCGTTTAGTCCTCTAAGCATGATTATCACGGCCATTTTGAGCGCCATTATTTTGGCCGAGCAAGTTCATCTTGGCAGGTACAATTGTGAATCAAATATAATATATTGAACCTTAGAATTCTGAATCAAATTTGTGAACATTTGAGTTTACCTTGTCAATTGAAATACAAAGTAAAGAATATTACAGTCTTTATTTATTTATTTTTTCTTTATTCTGATACATGATATGGAACTTATATTCACACACATTTTTTTATTTTTATTTTTTTCTTACAACTATTGAAAATTGGGCAGCTTAATTGGGGCAGTGATTATAGTTTCTGGGCTTTACTCTGTGGTTTGGGGCAAAAGCAGAGAGAAACTGGGCTGGGACAAGGCATCGCCACCGTACGATGAGGGCAAGGCCCAAGAACTGCCGGTGGTTAGCGCTGACATGGTCCAGATTAGCAATAACCCAAAGTTTAACAATGATAAGGCTTTCCTACAGCACGACCCATGAAACAATATGCGTTTGGCCCAAAACCCGTGACCCATCATCTTGTTCTTTTTTTTTTTTTTTTGTAATTTTGTTCTGTCTTTTTCTTTTTCCCCTGTTTTTGCTTTGTAAAATGTGATGTCTGATGCGAGCTGCGGCTTTCTATAGTCTATGTTGTTGGAGCAGTGTATAATATAGTTTCCTTTGGGAAAATCTTGTACTTGGTACGATGTATAATTGACTAGCTCTATTAATTTCTTGTCACGTTTTAATATGAAATTAGGTATAATCACTAAATATTTTGTTATGTTTGGTGAATGCGATGTCATACGTTTGTTATCGATATAATTATGATATCATATGTTATATACACAGTTCATCGCGAAACAGTTAATGTTGGAATATCACTTGTAAGTTGTCTCACATTGATTATATAGAGGAAATGAGCCTAGTTTATAAGCCTAGTGGACTACCCCTCCCATCACCAATTGGTTTTGGGATGAAACTTCACTAAGGTGCACCTAGACTCACCTTTTTATGGTGCGCTTTATCAGGTGGGACCACACTCTCTTCCCCGATTCTAATATGGTATCAGAGCGGGCATGTCCTAGGACCTGCAATGACTCTCTCTACTCGGTTTGCTCTGAGCTTGAGCTTATCTCTCTACCGGGCATGTTATGTGGGTTTTGGCTTATGAAGGACTCACAAGTGAGGGGACGTGTTGGAATATCACTTGTAAGTTGTCCTACGTTGATTATATACGGTAAATGAGCCTAGTTTATAGGCCTAGTGGGCTACTCCTCCCATCACCAATTAGTTTTGGGATGAAACCTCACTAAGGTGCACCTAGGCTCACCTTCTTATGGTGCGCTTCATCTGGTGGGACTTCTCTTCCCCCGATTCTAATAGCTAACCTATACCTACTATTCACGCTTTACATAATTAAATATCATACTAAAAAAGAATAAAATTGTTATGTGGTCGTCCTCAATTCCACCTCTCGATGCATTGGCAGCGCATGCGTCTTTGTGTGCATCCGGCCGCATGCAAGCCTTCTCTATCTCCCATGGATGTTGTTCGTCTTCAGGGGACTTTCGGCCAGCTCTCCTAAAATTTGGATTTGTCCAAGCACTCCCTTTGAACTCCTGTTTTTGTCCAGATTCAACCTGAAATCATAGCACAGTGAAAGTCTTAGTAGACAACAATAATAAACGGGAAAAATACGAAGTAAAATGTTGAAAATTAGAAATAATGGACAAAGAAAACAAATCCCCCTTTCGTTCGTCGGAATCTGGCCGGATAATGAAGACACAAAGTCTCCCGACTCACATTGTCCTTGGCTCGGCTCCCTCAGTGAGTCATGGCTCGGTGGTGGTCAAGGATGGCGGCCCCGGTTCCTCGACCTTATCCCCAACAGGCTGCACTCACACAAACATAACCTCTGTCTGGCCCCGTCGCCAAGTCATTTACTCCGTATACGGAGTCACCCGAGGCACCACAAAGAGCCTGTGACCGAAGAGATGAGAAGGCGACTGTGGCGGCACAACGGCGACACTCACACTCGAAGGTCACGAAGAACAAAGAGTGAGAAGGGAGAGAGAGAGAGAGAGAGAGAGAGAGAGAGAGAGAGAGAGAGAGAGGTTTCAGCCACAAGGAGAGAGAATGATCGAGAGTTGTGCGTTAGGACAAAATAGATTAGGTTATTTAAGAGTCAAGATGGATGGTGAGAATTTAATCTCTATATCCAACGATCTGAGGTCATCCATGCCAATTAAGTGTGTGAAGGTCTGACCCAGACGGGATTTAGGCGGGGGCTTTTTTGGGCCTGAGACAGGGAAGTGGATTGGGCCAAATATCCCTACAAAAACAATATTAAACGAGGTATATGAAAAGTATGGTATTTATGGAAATGCTTGTGCAATATTAATAACATGATGCTTCATTGCATGTGCTATAATACATGTTTAGTGGTTAGAAAGTCATATTTTTCCAATATATATCTATACTTTTTAAATTAGAATGTTTTACTTTTAATATAAATAACACATGACATTATATAGCACAAATATGTATTTTTTGTTAAAAAAAAAAATATGGTTCTTAAGCCACCTCATAACAAGAATTTGCATTTGTTTATAGAGTACGGCGGATTTTACTTGCCTATCTGCATAATACGTTTCATAACAAATGCTAAAAAATACAACATAAGATGCTACGTTGAAAGCATAATATTGCAATATTCTCATTCATCGAATAAGATTGGTTTGACTCGTCAATCTATCAAAATTTTGGAAATTAAAAAGAACAAAAGATGTGCAATTAGAGATTATTAGTATGTGAAAATATACTAAACCTTTTGCTTTTAAGTATTGAAAAAAAAAATGTATTGAACCTGAAATAATGAACACTGGTAGCATCAAGCATGAATCAAAGATTGCCACCTGTCCAACCGGCCCGTCGGTTCTGGTTCAAAACTGAAACTGCCAGTTCGACTCTAAATCTTTAATTTATTTATTTTTTATTTACCTACTGGCTTGGAACAGCCGGGCCGGTTCTCAACCATGAACCAGCCTGTATATATACCCGAGCCGGTTCCGATTCACATAAAATGTAAATATGAACCGGGCGGCGCGACCCAAAACCAGCCACCTCTAGCTTGAACTACTAATACATTTGGGCCAAAGCCATTTTTTGAACAACACAAATCATCCTGAGCCCAATTATCGTTAACAGGCTGGCCTATCCTCATCATCGCTAGTTGGGCCTATATACAGAATTACCCACCTGATTGCTGATACTTCACGCACGAATCCCCGCTTTTTTCTTCAACCACAGAAGAAAAAAAAGGAAAGGGGAAAACTGAAAAAGTAGAAAGCCAACAAAATGATTCCCAGAATATTTGGATTAACTTATGCTTGAAGCCCTCATCGATCGATTTATCAGTGTCTGTTTAAAATCATCTTATCTCACTCATCTGGGATGTTCTGATTTTTGGTTTTGGATCGAATGAGATAGAAAAAAAAAAAATAAAAATTCAATCTTGAAAAAAAAAAAAAAGAAATAATAGCTGGGCTTGAAGGAAAATGGCGATGTGGGTTTTCGGGTACGGGTCTCTGATATGGAAAGCGGGTTTCCGGTACGATGAGCGGGTCGTGGGTTTCATCAAAGACTATCGCCGTGTTTTCTACCAAGGTGCTTTTTTTTCATGTGTGGGTGTGTGTATGTGTTTGTGTTGGTTTTCTTGTGATATAGATTTGTAGTGTTCTTGAATGGAAGTTATGCTTATCTGGTTTTGTACATTGTGTGTGGCTTTTAAGGTAGAAAGTGAAAAGAGTGACTGAAACCTTCTATCAGTTGGTGATTTTAAGGATGATGCGGTGTGTAGTTATATGTCAAATTGTTTGTCGATCCTTGTGTCGGTGTAGCGTGACTGGATAATGTTTATTCGAGCATCTATGTCCTTGTGTGTTTTTTGCTCAATTGCTCTACCAGTAAACAGAAGTATACTTAATTCTGAACTTATATCTTATACCTGAAATAAGATATGTGGTGAAACAATGGTTTTTCAATTCAGGAAGCACGGATCATAGAGGGACGCCCGAGTTTCCCGGAAGAACCGTCACATTGCAGCCTGCAAAGGGAGAAAATTGTGTAAAGTTTTTTTTTTTTTTAATTAAAAATCATGGCTTTATTATGTTTTTCTTTGTGATTGTTTCATTGTTTTTGTTTCCAAGTTCGGTTATTTTTCACAACTGTTCATGCAAATCTTGTGCTGATGTTTTTGTAGTTAGGCCGAAACTAAGGGGAAATTGTTGCAATATAATTAAAATTAACCTGAATTGAACAAACTAAATTTGAACACAAGCCAATAGAGAGAGAGAGAGAGAGGGAGAAAATAATCATCTATACAAAATGCTTTTGCCCCAGGAACTAGTTTTGTAAGTTATCTGAAAATAAAAATTTATTGGATTAAGTCTTGTTATCTATCCTTGTTCTGATTTTGCAAGCTCATTTTTTCTCGAGTGCTCATGTTAGTTAAAAGAGCTATTGCCTTGTTGTACAACGCTGAAGTTGGTCTAACTGCATCATCGAAAGATGAATAACGAAAATGTAATGCTTGAACTAAAAGATCTCTTTAGCATGAAGGTATCTGCAATGCTAGAGATACCATTCAAACTTTTTTACGAGCTGGTTATATTATCGAGAGCTAAAACAGAACACCTTTTGTGCTTGTCCAAATTATCTGCCAATGCTATGGGTTTACACATTTTATTGCCTCTTGAACATCTCGTTTAAAACAGAAGAACATTAGCTGGTTTTGCCTTTCATTCTCTTATAACGTTTATATTTACTGTGACGAGATATGTAAAAACTCCATCGTGACTATTACGAATTTGATAAGCATTTGATATATGCGAGACAGTGGGGCGCGGCTTACAAAATAACAAACAAGGAAGATAAACTGTCTGCTTTGGAGGTAGTTTTTTTCTTTTATTTATTTACATTTTAAAAGGTGCAAACTATGACATTTTTTAGGGATCTCGGCCAATGCTTATTTGATTGAATAACACCATTCAACATAATTATTACAAAATGTACTAACATAATATAATTATGATAGCTTAAAAAAGAACCATCAGTAAAGTGATGTTTATGCAGGGCTTTCCTTGGAGATTTAATGTGTTCGATCGTTATTTTTTCGTTCTGCTTTTATTATATTCTTTTTCTATCCTTGATTTACAAGAACAACTCCCTACAATGTTGTCTTGCGTTAGTATCTTGAAGTGAGGGAGAAGCAGTATGACAAGAAGGAATACGTTGATTTTTTCACTGTAAGTATACGTCTTAATTCGTAACTTGGGCATTTTATATAAACATAAATATATAAAATTTGTGAACGGTGTTGCGTTATCTGAACGAATTTAATTTTTAAACATTGTTTTAGGAATCCAATGCTTCGTCACCTCTCGTTTCGAACGTTATGGTGTAAGTTTCACAACTGTCATCTGCTATGAGTGTTGAGCGTTTTAATTTTCACTCTTTTTTTTCCCCTTCGGAACTCACGGTTATAATTGTGGCAGATACATAGCATCTGCAGACAAGACATTGAACCATAACTACTTAGGACCTGCCTCACTTGAAGAAATTGCCATGTAAATGATGTAGTTTTTTACTTATGGGTGTTAGCATCAGAAGAATATTAATTGAACTGGTTTTTTTAACTTTTGATATCTCATTTGGCTCTTTATGTTTTCATTATGCAGGCAAATAGTCAAGGCACAAGGCCCCTCAGGACCAAATAGAGAATACCTTTTCAAACTAGAAAATGCTCTTATTCAAATAGGTGAAAAACTGGGCCTTAACCTCATTTTTTGCAGCAATTATATTCAGATGTTTGCATTTACTTCTTTTCGCCTGTCTCCAATAGGCTCATTGTTTGTCGAACAGCTTCAATTTTCATTCAATTCACTTTTTGGGACTCCCAGTACTCTTATATCATATTTATTATTTCTGCTAGGATGTGAAGACGAGCATGTCACTGATCTGGCAAACGAAGTTAGGCGTATAATCTCACAAGGGGAACCGGACGTTGAATGATAAAGATGATCATATTGTGTCGTTAAATTATTGGTGAAGTGTATATCACGGCTAGTTGTGAGATACTGAAAGCCAGGTGATTCTTCATTGTTTTGGTATTGAACATTGAGATGTGATTGTTGTACACATATATAACTAGTTAACATTATTCGTTTCAAGCTGAATTTCAATGAACAATAACCAACAATGTATCAACATCGTTACATAATCTCGCGTTCAATGGCATTCACACTTGTGTACATTTGACAATACACAGAAACTAGGTTCCACTTTTCTTCAATTTTTACAACTTGAACAACAATCTAGAGTTACATTCAAATTTACACACACAAGAATAGAACCTGTTGTATCATAATTTATAAGACCTTCAGTGCAATCTTGCTTGTGTGATGGACCCCATGGGCAGCAACTTTCAGAATAGCTCGACCTTGGTACAAACTGCAAAACAAAAGCCCCACAAAGTAAATCGAGATATCAAACTGAAACGGCAAAATACTTTAATCAGAAATGGTCTATTGGCAAAAACACATCACCCGACTAACTTGCATATAATATTTAATATCTCTTTCACAATATATCAAGAATAAGAATATGCTGACAAGTTACCTTGCCATAACAAGACCCCATGTAGCTAGGGTGTAAAACATCTTTCCAGCAAGCCAAATATTCATCATTTTCTCAACTTTATTCATGCCCCTCAGCGTTTTCGTCAAGGCTGAAAACAATTAACAGAATTTATGTAATTGCCACCATGTAAAAATGCCGCATAATCAGAGATATATATACGCGTGCATGTACATGTGTGTGTTTGTTCAACAATGAAGTTTAAATGAGACAATAACTAACAACAAATTGTCACAAGACATTTTTTTTATGTCAGCATTCTCACTGATATCCAAGAAAAAAGAAACACGAACACACTATTTCAGGAAGTCCTACCTTTTTGTAGCTCGATAGGGCTCAGATTCTGCATTGCCAAGAAAGAACACAAAAATGTGAGGTCTAATGCCACAAATACTCAAAGGTGATTACGAACAAAAAGGGGTCAAATTACCATCGATTTCGGGTTCGCCAAAACACACCTAGCCATAAAGTTAGCCACACCATCCACCACATGTTCTTCACTTACAACTACATAATTTTCATTGTCAATCCCACTCTTCTCTTCAACATTATTAGTGTCCTCCGAAACCCAAACCCACCAACTCGGTTCCTCGTTATCAACATTAATCATAACCTCAGCTTTCTCAAGATCCGCACCTGGAGCATTTGCAAGGAATCCACATTAACACTACCAAAAAAGCGAGCAATTTACATTTTGATGCATGCCAAGAATCGGAAGTAAAGTATACCGTGTTGAAAAAAGATGGCAATTTTGACACATGAGAAACATTCAGTAGGCAGACTCAACTGAATATATAATATAAGGAAAATGCTACGGTCCCGTTACGGAACCATTCCGTCGGGATTTGTAACCGTTAGATCATCATGTAACCGTCGGGGATAGTGGATCTAACGGTTACAACCCTGACGGAATGGTTTCATAACGGGACTGTAGCGTTGTCCTATAATATATGTGAATAGATTACACTACCAAGATTAAATTTTTCCATGGATTTTTACTTCTATCAGAGAGAGACCTGATGGGTCATCGAAAGGGAACGAGCAAGTAGATTTCTGACGGAGAAATTCAAGCTCATTCAGGAAGCTTTCAGAATTAACAGCAGATAAAATCCGATCATGAAGCTGCAATCAATTGGGAAATTTACACAATCAGTCACATAAATTTCGCCAAAACAAAGAAACTTCAGAAAAAATAATAATGATAATAATAAAAACATTATACATCTGATGGGCAATTATGTAACAGAGTGGGTGAAGCCGATATCTGGTGAAGGAGATTGAGGTTTTTCTCGAGCAATCGACGTAGCCGATCGTTTTCGGAGCGCAGCGTTTGCACATCGAAATCCCCTCTTTCTTTGGTTTCCGGCGGCAATACCGTCGAATCGTGGTCGTGGTGATGGTGGTGGCAGCACTCGACGGCGGTCCACACCACGTCGGCTACCTCCAACACCGTCTTCGCCACCTCGACCGACATATGACCTGCCATTTTCTTCAATTTTTTTCGTTTTTCTCTGTTAATTAGGGTTTTGATGATAGCGATTTATCCCCTTTTCCTTACGGTTTCTTGTTCATGTAGCAAGACTTGGTGGAGAACTCTCTTCAAATGATTGAGTTCCAATTATCTCCAATTGAACTGTTCAGATCATAGTTTTTTTGCCCCTACCAGCCCGGCTGGTCAACCCGGGACCCGGCCAACCCAGAGCTGAAACTGGGCCGAGTGAGCAATTTGGACCGGGCAACAAATGACCCGGTCAAACCAGACACTGACCCAGCGGACCCGGTGCATTGACCCGGCCGGGTCATTATATTTTTTAAAATTTTTTTTTCAAAATAAACTATGTAAATATGTTTACTAGTACAACGCTCGTGTATTACACGGGTGCTTGTTAATTTTTTTCTTAAAATCTAAAATTAATGAGAAAACGTAGTTGAAAATTTAAATATCTTTTATAAAAATATATATATTTAGTACGACACTTTTTATTTGTGCGACTTACATGTGTTATATTATAATAATTTTTTAACTTACAAAATATAACTACATTAAACATAATATATGAATTGAGAAATAATTTTATTTTTATAATGAATTTTAATAAATATTATTATTTTTTATTATTATAAAGATAAATATAATTTATTTATTTCATATATACAATATGGATATCAAATCGAAGATCATAAAAAAATGATTAATTTGATATATTATATATGCAAAATAGATAAGAAATACAAAAGTTATCAACTTTTAAAATACATTTACAATTCAACAGCTAATTGAAGGAAACAAATCAAAAGTCAAGGATATATTAGTTACTTAGTATCTCACTATGTAAAATTACAAAGAATAAAGGGTTATATTAGTACAAGTGATATTAAAATACCTAAGTTAGCTAAATAATATTTATGGAATGTCCGAACCTAGATTATTATTTATTAATATCCCCCTTATCCTCCCCTTCCCCCCTCATATATTAATTCAGAACACGTTGAGTTGAGCCTACGTGGCTGCTTCTGGTGCTTCGAAATCATATGTGGCAAAATTACATGCTTCGTTATTAGGCTTGGATAAATTTTAATTTAATTCCAAACAAAAAATAATTAGGTTCGGATTACCATAAATATGTTGATTATTTATAATCATGTTACATGCATTAATTGCATTTTAATATCATTCATTGTTATAACTATTGAATTGTATATGTATTTAAAAGTTGATAAGTTTTGTATTTTTTATCAGTTTTATATATGTAATATATCAAATTAATCTTTTTTTGATGAGCTTCGATTTAACACCCATATTATATGTATAAAAAAAAATAATTTATATTTATCTTTATAACAATAATAAAATTATTTTTAATATTAATTAAAAAATAAAATTATTTATCAACTAATATATTTATATTTCAAATAGTTATATGATTTAAATTATAAAAACTAATATAATATAACACATGTAAGTCATAAGTAACACATATCATTCTAAAATATATAGTAATATATTTTTTTGTAAAAAAGTAAACTAAATTTAATATAGTTTTCTCATTAATTTTAAAATTTAAGAATATTTTTTTAACAAGCACCCGTGTAATACACGGGTGTTGTACTAGTATCAATATTATTTGTCCAAACCTAATTACGAAACATGATTCTTGGCTAAGTAGGATTACGAAACACCAGAAACAGCCACGTAGGCTCAGCGCATTCGAGAATTATATATAGAGGGGATATGGTAAATATTATCATGAGAAACACATTATTAAAACTTTAATTTACAAATTTTATAAACAAAACATTTAATTTTGTTATTTTTATGCATATTTATATGACAAAAATATTAAAATTAATTATCCGGTTCAGCAATTGACTCGTTGACCCGACGGTTGAACCGGTGACCCGATGACCCGGAGACCTGCCCCGGTCAATTATCGGGCTGGGTTTAAAAACTATGGTTCAGATATAAAAATTAGTTGCCATGTCATTTGAGTATGTTTATCTCTAGTGCAGTAATGCTCCCCTACCCACAATGGGCACATGTTAATATGTTCACTGCTTATGTGGTATGCACACATTGGTGATGTTAATATGTTCAAAAAAATACATCACCAATGTGTGCATGCCACATATTTTATAAAAATTAGTTGCCACGTCATTTGGCTAAACAAGGTTTGTGTATTATTTACTCCAGTGAGCTATTTTGTGGGAAATGTTATAATGACTGGTGTTAACATGTTAATCACTGTTTACATCTAGAACTAGTTGTAGTATGTGCAATGCACGGGATTAGCGACGGATCTAGAAATTTCACTCAGGAGCCTGATTTTAAATGTTAAATAACGAGCTAGTAGTTTAAGTCGAAACACTCATTTCATATAAAAATGTATTTACTGTAAATATAAATATAGATATGTGCTCCATCAAATTTTTAAAAACTTAAAATCAGTATCACCGTCAAACTTCTTAAAAAATAAACAAATAAGGAAAAAAAAAATAGATTTCATGTATTTATAATATAAGTTTAGCGTCTATAATTTATCATTAACTAAATTTTTTTGTTGAAAATTTGATTTAAGTTTAACTTTTGCACCACATTGCATAGCATCAAATGAATATTTTTAAAAAATAAATAAATACAAATATGTGATTGCACAAAAAAGTAGAAAAACAACATTAAAATGTAACAATCAAAATCGGTTTTATAAATTAATAAATCAATTTACAATTAAGAGACCCAAAAAGAGTATATCATTATAAATATTTTAAAAAGATTATATAGAAATTTAAAATATAAGGGTTAATGGTAGTAAATTTTTTAATAAACAAAAATAATATTATAAATGTAAATAAAAATAGCATTGGAAATAACTTTTAACTATTAATATATTGTAAATATTTTTTACATTTCTACACATGTTTTATAGTATTTTCTTTATATATGTATATTGATTTTTAATAAGTTTTACTTATTAATATATTGTATATATTTTTTGCATTTCCACATATTTTATAGTATTTTATTTATATATATATATATATATTATTTTTTTTTTACAGGCCCACAGGCTCCCTTGGCACCATGTCCCTCCGTCATTGCACTGGATGATATATTTTTCTAAAACTTTTTTAATATTGAATATTAAATTTAATGCACTTAGTATATATGTAACAAATGTATACAGGTCGGAAAAATTAAAAATTCTTGAATTATTGAATAGTTCTTTGTAGACAACGTTTTTTGTTCGCTTTAGTGGCGAGTCATCGTCACTATAGACTAATAATTTAAATAATTTTAGCTCGTCACTGCAGACTAATAATTTAAATAATTTTTGCATATGAATTCGATAATAATAAATAGGAAATGACAAAAAAAAATATTTATCTCTTCATCATGAAAATTTATTTCCAGCACATTTTTGTACTTTGCTTCAAATTTTCTTTCAAATATATGAGCAACCCTTAATTTCAAGTATGAATTTTTTGTTTGGGAAACCGACTTAAGAAAACACTACACGAACAACATATTGATATGGTGGAAAAAAATGAAATCAGTCGATTATATAGATTAATGATTGAAAAAAATGCTAAACAGATGTGGTAAATGGTTAGTGTAAATGACTACTTATATCGATGTTGTAAATTATTTGTGTTAAATGTGATATATGGTTCTAATTAAAAAGATCGTTCTAGATTTGTGATGTTCCATTCACTCTGACGTATTTTGCGATAAGATAATAATGAATCTTTCAAATAAGATATATTTTACTATCTGCTTGGATTTTTACTAACATAAAATGAGAAATATTTGAGTCCTTTAAGAATTGTTTTAACTGAATTTTCTTAAAGTTATGTAACGAAATTACGAAAGAATTTTTTGTAGATATAATTGAATTCGATATTGCAATCCGACTATGAAATAATTTTAAAAAATGATATAATTTTTTGTTATAGGTGAATGTTCCCTAAAAAAATGTTAACAATGTATTAGCTTTTTTATTATCCGCTGGATGTGAAATTAAAATAATTTTACCTATGGTTTATTTATTTAGACGCGTTCCTATGAAACAACATAAGTAAAATTAAATTTAACTGATGTAAATTTATATTTATCATTTGTTCAAATAATTATTTAATTAAAAAAGTTTTTATTTATCAGTATGTAAATTTGAAGGGTGGTTTTATAGTTGGTCAAGAATATATAAATCAAAATCTCAGATTATATTTGTGTTAATTTTTGCGATTTTATGCATGTCAATTACAAAAGACAAAAATTTTTATAAAAGAATATTTCGATGTCTGTTTGATATAGTAGCCCAATATATTTGTGAGAGAAAGTAATACATTAAGTTTTATTTAATTAATTATCAATAATATTTTAGTTATAAATTAGAAAGAGAAATAGAGTTACACAGCCAAATGTTTTTTTTAAAGAAAATCTCTCCACTAATTATTCAAATAAATTTTGGATAAACATGGTATGCCGGATTTATTTACAAACTAAGTTCTCGACCGACCAACTAAAACTCTAATTTATAAAAGATTTAAAATATTAATGGAATCCCTTACAGATAAAACCTGATTTCAAACAAATTTTGTATAGGAAATATGTACCATAAATAATTTGAAATGTCTGCAAAAGAGTATATGTAATCTATACCATTAATAATATAAAATAAGCAAATAAGATATATTAAACACGCGAAGATCAAAAGTCATTCAAAATTGAATTCAAATCGGATTACCAAAAGAAGTAAGTCAAAGGTTTTGACCCGAATTTTAATCAATTTTTCACAAATGATTTTTATATCAACCTCTTTCAATATATATATAGATATTTAATCAATTTAAAGTTTACTCTTTTCATAATTTTAAGTTATTCTATTTGTTTTTTTTAATTATTATATATTATGTACATTTTGATTTACTTTTCTAGCCAATCAGCACGTGGTTCAATAGTCAAGTTTCATTTTTTTTAAAAAAAATTTA